GGATTTTCATTTCGTATTTTCGTTAGTCGTTCGGAATCCTACTTCATCTTGTTTTTTTTAATTTTTTATGTTCTTGTTTGTGTTGATTTTTTTATAATATTTCGTATTTTAGTTGGTTGTTCGGAATCCTACTTCATCTTGTTTTTTTTTAATTTTTTTATGTTCTTGTTTGTGTTGATTTTTTAAATAATATTTATAGTATTTCTTTAGTTGCAATTGTGATACTTGTTGATTTTACACAAACAATAATTTTCTTTATCATTATTATCATTGTTATAACATTTATGAGAGACAGCATTGAATAGACATGCTGAAGGAATATCAACTATACTGATGACAAGTGAAATTAATACTAGTCTTGACACAAGTCCTTGTTCAAGAATCTGTGAGCTAAGAGTGTCCATCTTCCCTGCTATTCCTGTTCTTCCAGGCTGTTGTCAAGTTCATAACTATTATTGCATATCATAAGTCATAACATTAATTAATTGTTTGTTTTTTAAAATAAAATAAAATAACACACTTGATAAAACAGTAACATGTAAAATCAATACCTTCTTTTAGCTGGAAACCTCCACTAAAGTATTGCAGTAAGCTGATTCCAAGCATAGCTTGGTAAAAAATAAATTGCTTCTTCCAGAGCTGCAGATCTGCATCTGAGCATGCGCGACCACACCCAAATTTTGGAGCACATGGCAAGCTTCTTTAATTAACAAAAATTAATGGCGGCATGTAGCTAAGATGGCTCGATCCAGCAGTCACAGTATCACTTTTTCCTTACTTGAAGAATGATCTGATGGGACATGGACCTGCGCATAGACTGTTGGAGTAGATTGGTGTAAGAATTATCCTTGTAGCACCAACTGATACTGAGATACACACCGACAACTGGATTGACAGGACTTGATGAAGATGATGATGATGAAGATGAAAAAAGGTGGCTGAACAAAACGGCCGATTCACCGATTTTTGACTTTTCGCTTAGACGAGGTCTAGAGCCATGCTAGTGGTACCATTGGAGTCCTCGGGTCAAGATAAGGTCCTCTATAAAGTCTGGTAAGCATAAGAGCTCGTTTTCCCGGTATAGCAAGGCTGCAAAAGTCGTGGCAGCCATTTTGTTTGGGGGTGAATCCTACTTAGTAACGCTACCGCGTTACTAATAGTACAGGGACTTTGGCTCGATTTTTGAGCAACTTCAAAAAATTCATTAAAAATTTATTTTTGATCAGAATCAGCTCAAACTTGATGTATAGCATAAGTACATGTATATGTATCTTACCAGTAGGTATAAGACTCCAGCAGAGAATACTACTGGTATGATTGCCATTGTTGAGAACCGGAAGAAACCTTGAAACACAAGATCCTGTGCCCTCCCTGCACCATCAGCCTTCTCATATCTATACACCTGTAATATATAATAATAATAATAATAAGAATAATAATAATAATAATAATAATAATAATAATAACCTCTAATGCTTTGATGTAGTAATTTTGCAGAACTGGAAACATGAAGAGAGCACTGGCTACAGAGTAAACACAGAAACCAGACAATACAAAAAGAGCAGAATCTTGTTGCAAATAAGTAGTACCTGAAGAGATACAAAGGAATAGAAAGAAAAAGGGAACATAACTAAAAGTAGGGCAGGAAGGACTATGCATACATACCAAGAACAAATCCATAGACAAAGAATATGACAGGTAGATAGAACATCCAGATTAGACTAGCTCTCTTGCTGGCTCTAGCCTCAAGGACAGCAAGCCTTGCAAACCAACTGGCCTGAGGCCTTATCTTCTTGGCCTTCTTTGTATTAATACTATAAATAAACAAATAATAATAATGATCATTATTGTTGTTGTTGTTTATGCTTATATTGTTGTTGTTGTTGTTGTTTATGTTTTTTCTCACTGTGCTGGGTTTGATGAGTGTCTCATCATAGGTAGGTCATTACTGTCGTCTCTGGATAGTGTTGCAATTGATACACTTTCAAAATCAAAGACACGAGCTCTTTTAATGGCCCACTTTATCAGTTCAGGCTCAGACGAGGTCTAACAGTAAGACAGTGCAAAGAGAAGATATGATAACAATATAAAGTAGAAAAGAGATAGGGAAAGGAGGAGGTGTTTTTACCTGATAGTGCTCTAGGATAACTTCTCTCATCCATGGTTTTCCAAGCATGTCCATAATAATATCTATTAGTTACAAATAAATGTATAATACGTAATGTTCTATTACATTCACAAGTTATGGTACCGCTAAGCTATAATGCACTATAAATATCATCATTACAAGTTTACTAAAAAAATTTATTAAAAACTACAACAGCTAAAAAATAATCATACAATTAGTGCAGCAATACAGCAAAAGCAGCTTTGTAATCTATGTAGCAGTTACAGTTCAGTTGATGCTTGCTTGCACAGTAGAGAAAACAGGAGGAACGTTGGGCTCAGCAAATAAATTGTTCCAAGCTTCTAGGAATGAGTTTGCTGTAGAACGTACTCCATTAGATCCAATAAAATCATATGTTTGGGTTTCCTGGACCATTTGTAAAATTTCTTCAAACTGCATTGTCTGTTCACTGGCATTTTGCGACAAGTTCTCAAATATATTCCAAAGACGCGTTGCATCCTTTATGAATGCTAGTGTTTGCCTAACAGAGCCAATCTCTTTGTGAACTTTCTCAGAATCAGCAGTGCAACGTCTTATTGAAGCTTCACAATCATCTATAGACGTTTGACAACTGTCTATTTGAGGCTGCATACCTTGAAAGGAGCTATTAGCAGAACGAAATTTTGCCTCGGTATTGCTAACTTCTCTTCGACGCCAAATTACATTACGTTCAGCATTTTCAACTTTCCCTTGTAGTTCAATTATCACACTTGATAATCCAACAACTAATCCAACAGGTCCCCCAATTATCAATCCAAGAACTGCTCCTCCAACAGCTGAACCAACCCTTGTATTAGTTTCTTTATCCTTTTCTCTTGCCAATTTACTTCGTGCATTACTCAATTCTATTTCAGCATTACTGAGATTTGACCTTTCATTATCTAAGGTATTTTGATAATAATTTTTTACTTGAGACAAGCTATTTTTGTCTGATTCCAGTTTTCTCAAGATATTTTGCTGACGGTTCTTCTCAGACTCATGATTTCCTTTTTCCTTGGTTAAGGACTCATGTTCCATTTGCAGTTCTCTCTCTTTGTCCCTAAACAGACCCTCTTGCTCCTTTGAAAACTTAGACAAACGCTGGCCATCATTCTGCAGAGTCTGCAGTCTCTCTACTGGTATGTTGACAACTGCTCCTCCTTCAGGTGGATTGGTAGTCACATTCCTGTAGATGTCTTGAGCTGTTTCAATGCATGCCCTTGCTATAGGCACTACCTGGTCTACCTGATTGTTACTTTGAGTTGGAGATGCCATTATCTGATTTCCTATTGCACACTTTACGTGTATATGGTTAAAATATATATTTTTATCATGCTCTCCATGTACATTGTACATGATTACAGTTTACAGTGTATGTTCCGGCAAACAATGAATTGCATTAACAAGAATAATAGTCATGGGAAAAATATGCAGGCACACTGACATGACATTACTACTACTAATAATTCTAAATATAGATGTAATGGAAATGACTCTAAAATTAAACCAAATGACAAATTTTATACAAATCACAGTTTATATGGCATGTTCTGGCAAACAATGAATGGCATTAACAAAATAGTAGATAACAGCTGTATATGTAAACAGTGACATGACATAATTCTAAAAATAGAAATAATGACAAGTTTTTATAAAAAGGCTGGCAAGCTGTTTATAGTGTTAAGATTTAGTCTTTTCTGTCTCTCAAGTTTTCTTTCTATTTGTTATGGCGACTGCAAATTTAGAACAAGTGGAGGTAATTGAAAATGAGAAGTATTCACTTCTGTCGGTCCCTGAAGCATCTTCTGCTCTTGTTCGCAAAGAAAGAGAAAATTATGCTGGCAATCTAAATCTTGAAAAATTTGTCAATGCTATGGACCATGTCGGGAAGTTCATAGAAGTTGCATACAATGGGGCCAATGCTGCAGGACCAGAATTTGTTAATCTGCAAATTGAAATACAAAGACTGGGATTTGACATCACTGATCTCTGCAATGAATCATCTGTCGCAATTGAAAAATTTCGAGCAGCTGCTGCAAAGGCTTCCTCTAGGCTAATATCAATTTATCAATTTCTATTGGATGGACACGAAAAAATTGCGATTAAGTCTCTTAATTCATTAGGTAAAATAGCTGACGAAATGGCTAAGATTGCTCATGAGCTGGAAGGAAAATTTAAAAGGCAAGCAGATAAAGTACAAGCAACACAGGAAACCACAAAAAAAGCTGAAGCTGATAAAGCTATAGAAAAAGAAGGAATAGAAAAGGAGTGTGAAACAGTGCAACAGGAAAAAGAAGATTATGAAACACTAGTAGACAAGTACTATAAGCTAGCAGAGGAAGCAAGGGAAGAGAGGAAGAAGTATGAAAAAATGGAAGAACAAGAGTTAAAGAATAAGGGTAATGTACTCGTTAAGTGTTTTAGCTTGGCTGTATCGGTTGTTCCTTGGGCTGGTGATGCAGTTAGTAGAATGAATGAGCAAGATTCAAAAGAATTGATAGAAAAGGGCAAGCGGCTGAGGGAAATAGTCGAAGCGAAAAATAAAACTGAACAAGAAGTGGAAAAACTCTACTGGGAAAATTTACAAAAAAGGTCTGAATTTACTGCAAAATTACAGGACTTAAAGGATAAGTGGAAATTGACTAAAGTTGCACAAGAGGCATTGCATGAGGTTGTACAAGCTCTATGTCAACTGGCCCTCATTATGAAAGAGGCTGCAAAATTTTGGGCTTACATTAAGGATCACTGCAAGCAAATGGCCACAACAGAAATTATGGAAACCATTGAAGACTATACCTCCACCACTACAGATAAAGAGGAAAGGAAAGCGCTTTGGAACAGTCCAGGATTTGTAACATTAGGAGTATCATATCATGCAGGATGGATATCTCTACGAGATGTATGTGAAAATTACAGAAGAAAATTGGAAGTATTACGCTCTGGACTATATGGATTTATAGCAGATAATCCAACTTATGAGCAATCACTAGAACGCTTACCAGAACTGTCCAAGGAGTTTACTGATTTAATAGAACAAGGAAAGAAAAGCATTGAAGACAAAAGGAAAAAGAAAGAACAACAGAAAACGGAATAACTAATATGAATGTAGCTATATGTAGTTTTCTTGCCTATAGCTACAGATTTGTCTTCTATTTTGCTATTTTCTGCTGTTTTAGCCACATAATATGCTGCTTTTATCGTTATTGCTAAATCACATGCAATATACTGCTAATGACTGTACGTACATCAATAGAAAATTATTGCTGCTTATTGCTTACTTAAAAAAATTTAAGTGGGCATCAATCAAAGTTGCATGCGATTATTGAATAAAAAAAATTATATTATTCCTATCCTTACCTGCTGGATTGTGTTCCTCCAGCTGAGGCATCAGCAGACCACGATTGAGGTACTTATTCATGAGAGCCTCAACAAAGAAACTGTAAGCTTTCTGAGGTACTCCGTGATAAGCAACCTTCCCATCACTGAGGAGAATGAGCTTGTGAAACATGTAAAATATCTCAAATCGAGGCTGATGGATGGTAAGGACAACCGTCCTATTGGAGTATGCCAACTCATTCAAATGACTGAGTAATTCAATAGATGAAGTAGCATCCAAACCTGCAGAATGAGATGAATGAAAGTAAAAATGAATATCAATGGTAAAGGGTGTGTCAATGAGCACATAGTGAAATGAATTTCATTATTATCATCTTGTTATTATTATTATTATTATTATTATTATTATAAATTGTTGATATTTTAGTAACATGCCTAGAGGGGAAATG